GCAGCACATTGCCTCTCTACCAGGTTTTTTTTTCACCCCCCCCCTTATGTCTTCAAGAAATACTGTACCTGTCTTTCCTGGGGATAGTATAAACAAGACATTTTACAGTTGACCATGTGTTGGATTGTAGTGGGAAGGATTTGATTTTCTACCCAGTTTTTGCCTTTTTAGGCAAAAAAGTTGACATCAGTTCTATTTCGTTTGGATTTGATTCCTTTGTTCTTCCACAATTTATGCTGTGGGTTTGGGAAATCAGTATCATTTAGTCACATAATTACACATCTATTCATTGTATCAAAACCCATTAGTGCTTGAAAGCACCAAAAAAGCCCTAAAATATTTTGCATACCTAAAAGCTTATTTTAGAAAGTATTCCAACTAAGTCTTCTGATTGATCAGGTCACATGATAGATTTAATGTGTACTTTTACAAAGAATATCTGATTTTGAGGATGAATTGAAGATGAGAAAATGAATGCCATATCTATCTGCTGATATGTACTGAGTAATTTTGAAGCTATTTTGGGATATGCTCCCAGAGGCCCTTCTGGTAGCTTTTTATAGCTTTAAATAGAGCTGCTACTATTTTGTGTAACTAGGGAGTAATAGTTTGGGACTCTTGGACCTTCGTTCGTTTTTCTTTTTTCGTATCCTCTTTATGGCTTTCTAAAAATAGGAAAACTTGGGATGAATTGAGGAGGATGGAAATGAAGACAGACCAAAATCCAAGGGATTTACCATCCAGTTCTTTTCTCATTTCTCTATTCCCCCTGTTCATCTTTAATATATATTTTTCTTTATAAAAATTCTGCTGGAGCTGAGAGGGGCACTGCACCCCATGGGCACTCCCGGTAGGAAATAGTCATGCCACAATCCCTTCTCCATCTTTCCTTTCAGGATTTTGGACATGCAAGAGCATGTGCTTGGTATGTTTTTCAAGTTGCTGGGTTCCAGGACTCAAAATGCACTATTGGGCATGTGGAATCCAGCTGTCTTAACCACCAGGCCGTGGACTGGCCCTTTCCTTTTCTGAAAAATGAAGACCAACACTTGTATTGTATTCACATGTTGGAGGTCATCTCAGGTTCGAGAGGCTTCGTTATTTGCCTCTTTTCTCTAATAGTGCATTGAACCTAAAGAACATTTTGTTGAAAGTGGTTCACAACATTTCTCACTTATCTGTTTTTATTGCTATGATTATAACAAAACAAACTAGTCTTGAGTTAAAGTACCAAAGATATTACTTTAAATAGCTGTAGGTCTTACATATTTTGGGAAAGAATTTGATTCTTTTCTACATTTTAGGACTACTTTAGTATATGACTTCTGAGGGTTTTTTTTTTTTTTTTTTGTATATGCACTGTAAGTTGTAGAACATGAAAGAGGGTAGGCAGTATAAATAAGATATTCTCTTTTTTTTTTTTTTTTTTTTTGTATTTAAAAGCTTAAATGGGGCCAGCAGCTGGTGGCATGGTGGTAGAGGTGGCTGAGTCCCTGACCTGGCAACCTGAAACAAACACTATTTGTGCGTGAGTGCCCAAAATCCTGAAAGAAGAAAAAGAGAAGGGATTGTGGTGTGGCCACTACCCCCTGGGAGGTACTCTCTCTCTCTGTCTTGCAAGCACATGTGTCCTGTAGTAAATTTTTAAAAATAATTAAAGTTTAAGTATAGCAATATTCTAAACATTTTTTAAAACTATACCGACTGTCCAAAATGATGACTACCCATAAATATAGCTGATTCATAAGTTATATATTCTGTTGCCAGACTGAGTATTAAATATTATTTTCTGATTAAAAATAAATAAAAGTAGAAGTTAGACTATTTCTTCCCACACCTAACTAAATGCTTTTGTTTTCCTCCTATAATGCATGCACATCCAGCTTTGAAAATAATTCCTGCTCTAGGCCCAGCTGCAGTGATGCAGGTGGTATGGTACGACTCTATAAGGCCAGGGCCACAATGGAGGCCTAGGTCCAATTCCTGGACCAACCTGGCAGGCCAGTTGCAGTGGCATGTGCCTATAATCCTAGCTAACTGTGAGGTTGGAGCAGAGGACTGTGTAATGTGGCTAGAAATCTGAGGGCATCTCTCTCTCCCCGCTCCATGCTTCTCACTCTCTAAGGAAAAAAAAAAGAATACTCCTTGATGATATTAAATGAAATCCTGATCATTTATTCCCCCCCCCCCCTTTTAAATTTGCCAGAGAGCACATGTGCTCACCAGAGAGACACAGAGAGAGGTAGAGGGGAAAAGCACCCACCAGTGGGGCATGATCATATCTCATTCCCAGAACATTCTGTCCAGGTTTGGGACACACACTTGCCTGGCACGCTTTTCAAGCCACTAGGGCCAGGATTTGAACTGCTTGGTTGGCCATGTGGGATCTGACTCCCTTAACTGCCAGGCTGTGGAGCGGGCCTGTATTTCCCACCCTTCCCTCTTTATAATGTCAGATAGATGAACAAGTATTTATTGTACATCTATATAGTGCCATGCACTGTTCCACATGCTAAGCAAGGAAAATAGCAGTAAATAAAACAGACTCAAATCCATCTTCTTATGGAGTTTCCATTCTGAACAAATGAAGTGAGATATGTAATGTGTTATGGTGCAGTGGTGATAGTAGGGGAGAGGGAAGGAGGTTGGAACCAGGTCTTCAGTTTCAGTTATGGAGGCTTCACTGAGAAAACATGCTTGATGAACTGAGGGGGCAAACCATGTAGTAATCTGGGGGAGGAAGGGCTAGTGCAGAGCCCTGAGATCACTGTGTGCCTGGCAGGCTGAAGAACTCTTAAGATTAAGAGTTTGACTGGACTAGAGAATCGGGGGGTAAAGACAGTAAGTAGCTGACAACGATGAGTCAGAGAGGTAGAGTGGATGGATCACGTAGTACACTCTTTTTGGGGATCCATGATAAAGACCTTGACTTTTAAAAGGTCTGTGGAAGACAGGCTTGGGAAGAGAGGGAGTAGCAAGGTCAGACATAGACGAGTTTGGAGGCTGTTTTGGATGCCAGCTGTGAGTTAGTGGTGGCTTGGATCCGAAGTATAGCAGTGTAGTGGTGAGATACAGTATAATCATGGGTAAATTTTGAAGTTTTCAGAAACAGAATTTGCTAATCAGGCTAGACATGTGGCATATGAAGGAAAAGGGCTCATCAGTTGGAAGGATAGATTTGCAGTTAACTGACACAAGACTGGGTGGTGAGCACATTGGGAATGGGGAAGGTGAGAAGTTCGATTTTGGTCACATTATGTTTGGGATATTAGATGTTCAAGAGATATTGAGCACGTGGTGGTGAATGGCCGAGGCATGAACAGGATAGAGGTCTGGGCTGGATATGAATCGGGGCAGGTCTCACCATACACAGAGTGTATTGGATTACTTGAGATCACCATATAACTTGATGCACTTCAGTGTGAGGATGTTGGGAAGATAAGGAAGAACCTATAGGGAGACTAAAGAAGGCAACTTAGACAAGCAGGAAGAGAGTCAGGAGAGTGGTGATAGGAAGCTGGATGAAGCCTTGGGAAGAGGAGGGCAGGGCAGCTGGGTACAATATTGCACTTAGGTCAAGTAAGTTGAAGATTAAACACTGACCATTTTAACTTTGTGCAATCATTGGTAACCTCATCACGGGTTACAGCAGAGGCTACAGCTTGATGAGCGTGTGTGTGCTGATGGGTGGGGGGAAGAAATGGGAGGCAAGCAAGTACAGTCACTGTCAAAGAGGAGCAAAATAAAGGGGTAGCAAATGGGGGAGGCGGGAGGGGAGGGTCAAGGTCATTGTCTGTTTCGAAGGAAAAAATTTAAAAATATTTTGTATAGTTTGGGGAAAAGTCTCATACAGAGGAGAGAAACTAGAGAAGAAGTGATTCTGGAGACGAGTCAAGTGCTACAGCCATGTCTTTGAGTAGTTGAGGAGAGCTGATGCTCGAGAGGATTGGCAGGCCTCAGCCAGGAGTGGAGCATCTCAGCTGTAGTAACAGGAGAGAAAGTGGAGCATGTGCACACAGATCCAGGGCTGCGTGGGGGTACTTAGAGAAGCAGGACTTAAGTCATAACTGAGGACGAGGGTGGAGATGTTGGAAATTTGAAGGGAGGAAGAAAAATAAGTTACTTAAGAGAGAGGGAGAGCAATGGAAAAGAGTGCTAAATGGTAAGATTGTTGGGGAATGTAAGTGTCCCTTTTGAGGTTAATTGACAATTTTAGACTAATTAGTATCTTTATATATATTTCTCTAGTCCTATTCAGGTACCTAGACTTGTTTGTATTTCCTTCATTCCATTATATTTTCCAAAAGGAATAATTTTTCAGTGGCTTTATAAACTAATTTTAGGGACCAGCAGATGGTGTAATGATAACATAGCTCTGGACTCCCACGTAGTTAACCAGGGTTAACTCCCACTGGGTCCAATCCTGGACCCAGTGGCTTATACTCAGATAGGGCGCCTGTGCATGCATGCCCAAGATCCCAAGAGGAGAACGAAGGAGAAGGGGTTGCCGCATGGTTATCTCCCATTGGGGGTGGGGGGGTGGTGATGTCTCACTTTCTGTCTGTCCAGCGAGCACACATGCCCTACAGCAAAAATCTCTTTTAAAAAAACCAGACAAACAAATTTTACATTTTAAGAAGCCTGGATGGTAGAATTTAGATAAATTTGCTTTATATATGTGGTAATCCAAGTGTTTTGGTTTGCTTGAGCATAAAGTCAATTTAATTGCCCAATTTTATTGTCAGCATATTTGTAGACGTTTGTAGCTAAAATGTATGATAGGTCATCTGTATTCTCTTGAGTTGCTCTCACTGGGCTGTAATTATTTAAATGATCTTTTCCTTGAATTTCGTATTTTATAAGCTAAATAAAACCCATTGGGAGATTGGAGAGGTTTTATTATGTCTAATTCTAAGAGTTGAAATTTCTCATTTTAATTTTGGTATCTGGATCTAGTGAAATGGCATTTGTTTCACAGTTTGTTTGTTTTTCTGTTGTAGGAAACCCAGCGTTTGCTGGCAGAACCGGTTCCTGGCATCAAAGCAGAACCAGATGAGAGCAACGCCCGTTATTTTCATGTGGTCATTGCTGGCCCCCAGGATTCCCCTTTTGAGGGAGGGACTTTTAAACTTGAACTATTCCTTCCAGAAGAATACCCAATGGCAGCCCCTAAAGTACGTTTCATGACCAAAATTTATCATCCTAATGTAGACAAGTTGGGAAGAATATGTTTAGATATTTTGAAAGGTAAGTGGATCTTCATTGTCATGTACTATTAAGATTTCTCCTTTTCCTGTTGGTCATTCCACATTTAGAATGTAAAAATGGTTATCTTGCCCTTATACAAAGACCACAGAGGTCTGTGGGAGGGAAATGTAGCAGTGTGGGCCTGTTTTTTCATGTTTTGTCACACTGGGCCTGTTGCCTTCATAGATAAGTGGTCCCCAGCACTGCAGATCCGCACAGTTCTGCTATCAATCCAGGCTTTGTTAAGTGCTCCCAATCCAGATGATCCATTAGCAAATGATGTAGCGGAGCAGTGGAAGACCAACGAAGCCCAAGCCATAGAAACAGGTATTTCATATTCTCCTCTACACTAGCACATTTAAAAACAAGTTTTTCTACCTTTTCATCTGAAAACCCTTTGAAGCTCTCGGTGAAGGAAGAAAATGAAATAAACCAGTTCCTGCTTATCGTATGTAAATGCCTCTTAAGAAAGGACGCTCAAGCTCCATCTTGAGCATCAGCTTGTTGTAAGACTCCCACATTTAAAGACCACTTATAATTGGGAGAGCTTTTTACATCATACCTCTCCTTTAACAAATAGCAAGCATCTGTCATTCATCTCGCAATATGTTATAAAGATACTGGAAAGCTTTTGAATTCTTAAGCTGTTTTTGTAATCCACTTGATTAAAGTCTGCAGCAGTTTATAGCTACAGAGTTTGGAATCAATAAACATCTTTCTATTACAGATTTTAACAGAATTAGTGAGAAGCATTATATATAGCAAAGAAGGGACAAGTCTTTTTCCTCCTTTTTTTTTAAAGTGCTAGTGACAAGTCTTGATTTCCACATCCTGTTGAATTTTGTGAGGACTTGTAAATTTCATTGTTAGTGTTATGGTAATTAGAAAAAAATTTAATGCTGTTCCAATTTAAAGAAAACAGTACACATTTAAGAAATTACAGTGTGACATAACTTATTAATAATATTCATTTACTATTTATAGGATAGCATATTGAACTAAGTAAAATAATAATTACGTGTCTTGTTTTTGTCTGCAGCTAGAGCATGGACTAGGCTATATGCCATGAATAATATTTAAATCGATCTGATCATCAAGTGTGCATCATTTCTCCTGTTCTGCCAAGACTTCTTCCTTTTTTGTTTGCATTTAATGGACACAGTCTTAGAAACATTACAGAATAAAAGCCCAGGCATCTTCAGTCCTTTGGTGATTAAATGCACATTAGCAAATCTATGTCTTGTCCTGATTCACTGTTGTAAAGCATGAGCAGAGGCTAGAAGTATCATCTGGATTGTTGTGAAATGTTTAAAAGCAGTGGCCCCTTGCTGCTTTTATTCATTTCCCCCATCATGGTTTAAGTATAAAGCACTGTGAATGAAGGTAGTTGTCAGGGTTAGCTGCAGGGGTGTGGGTGTTTCTTTTATTTTATTATTTTTGAGGGGGGAGGTGGTTTTATGTCAATTTTATGGGCTCCTTTCCCCCTTTTTATGGTGATCTAATCGCATTGGTTAAAAGCAGCTAACCACTTCTTTAGAATATACACTCTAGCCAAGTCTAACTTTATTTAGACGCTGTAGATGGACAAGCTTGATTGTTTGAACCAAAATGGGAACATTAAACAAACATCACAGCCCTCACTAATAACATTGTGACTTTGCTGTCAAGTGTAGACCCCTTCGAAAGAAGCTTGTGACCATTTTGTATGGCTTGTCTGGAAACTTCTGTAAATCTTATGTTTTAGTAAAATATTTTTTGTTATTCTACCTTGCCTTTGTATAGTTTATTTTACTGTGTTTATTTCCTTTTCCCAATGTGACAATCGTATTTAAAAATTGAAACTGATGGAACATTCTGTTTTGGTTTTCACCATCTGACAAATTGGATTGCAAGAGGTGGATTTTGCCAGTTTCTTTGCACTGATGCAAATTTGTGTTAAGATATTACAGAATGGAGTGTTTATAAACTGGCCCTGAGCATGCATAAAGCATCAGTATCTGACCTTTTTTTATTTCCTGGAAATTTGGAATAAATGTGTTTGTGTTGTCTGATTAGGTAGGTGATCATCAGTGTCTTACCACAAAGTTTGAAAATTACTTTACAGGACATACATTGCCAAGAAAGCAGGTTGTGACTCGTGTGTAGGACTTTCCACATGTGCCACATTTTTGCTTAGAATTTGGGTTCTAACATTCTCTTGGTTCTTGTCTGAAAACTCCATGTGTAATAACCATTGTTGTGTATTATTAGGAAACACTGATCTGATAATCATTTGGGGTTTGCCAAGGCATTTGTGAGTCTTCCTCATAGACCCGAAGAGCAGACCTCAAGCAACCAGCTTGCATAAATGTCATCAGAAAGGCTTCTCCCTTTGGGAATATCAAATCCTGTTAATTCTTGCTTTCACCCTGCTAGTATTTGCTATGGGAGCTCCATTTATTCCTTTATTTGGCATTCAGTAACTATTTTTTTCTTCATTGACAGTTTCTCCCTGACAGACGTGTTCTTCCTTGCCTCTCTCTATACCTAATTCCTGATTCTTGTTATTTTTAAGTCATAAATGTAGCCAGTCATACGTATGTAAATGTTAACCTTTGGGTTGGAACCTTTGTCTCTTGCAGTTTAAGGTAATGGATATTGTAGACCATCTGAATTTTCCTCACTCTTATTCTCTAACTTCTGGAGTTTCTTCAGAATGTGGTGTATTTTATTGTGCTCCTATGTAAGATGAAGAATTATCTATTAAAATTACATTTTCAACATACAAAAGCTTTTGATGATTGATAACTATGGTATCCTTCCAAATACGTGCATTGCTTGGTAACAAATGCTACTTTAATTCAGAGTAAAATTATCAATAACCTAAATATTGTAAAATTCAAAACTATTCACAGCAGTTCTCATTTGTAATACTTGGGCTGTTTAGAAGGCATCTTTGACTATAGCTGAGGAACTAAATCTCATTCTTAAAAAAGAATGACACAGAACCTTTAATAAAGATCAGCTATCTGCAGGTAGCACTGCTCATGGGTATAGTTAGTATAACATAGGAATGTACAAGTTATAAAATCCCAAATTTAAATATTTTTTCTTTAAAAAAAACTATTTTATTTGCATTTATTTATTTATTTATTTATTTATTGTAATTTGACCAGAGAGGGACAGAGAGGGGGGAGGGTGTGAGAAAGCAAGCTGCCAGGTCCAGGACTCAAGCCACAGCTGGCCATGTGGGAGTCCAAATGCCCTTAATCACCATGCCACCTGCCAGCCCCCCCGCCAATTTAAGTCTTTTGCACTATGAAAAACTGTTTAAAGTATGATTTATAGCTGTTGAGTTTGTGAGTTATGAAAGTACAGAAATGGAAAGTCACTTTTCATTTTAGTACATGAATTCCTAATTTCATGCCTTTGCATTTTTTTCCTTTGCAGTTTTGTAAAGAGTCCAGAGGGGGGCAGAGGGGAGGGAAAAGTCACCTCCCAATGGGGTGTGGTCACATCACAATCCCTCCTCCATTTCTTTCTTCTGTCAGGATTTTGGTCATGTATATACACATATGCCTGGTGTGTTCTTCAAGCCACCAGAGCTGGGATTTGAACCACTTGGTTAGCTGCGTGGGATCTGTTCCCTTAACCACTAGGCCATGGTAAGACTGACATTTTCAGCCATGAGGTGAGATGAGCTTTCCTAGTATTGAAGGGGCTCTGGGAGAGCTAAAGAAGAGGTTGAAAATTGGCAGCTACATCTGCTCTATCACCTTGTTTTCCTTGGCCCACATAGTGTAGTTGGTTAAGACATTTTTGAAGTTGATGCCAGCTTTTTAAAATTTTTTTAAAAAAATTCCCAAGTTACAAAAATTCCAGATTTGCATGTATAGATATACATATAGATATATTCTTGTAACTTTGGAATGATCTGAAGATCTGGGAACAGTAACACTCATCCATCCACCATTGTGCATGATACTTGCTGGGAGGAATTGACTAGCAGCCAACTGAAGACCATGTCATTCTCCTCTTACCCCATTTTCTGCAATTGGCTCGAGTCCTCTTTCAGTCCACGTGTACCTCTCTGGTTCTAGTCACTAAGAGCCCCCAAGCTAAAGGAAACATTTATTCAGCAAATTAAGTATGTGTTACATGCCTACAACTTGTGGGTGATTAGACTAAGATGAATGAATGGTTGGGGACTTTATAATCCAATGGGGGAGGGACCATAGTTGCAACTCTGTCATTGAGAGCCAAAGTACTTGGAGAGGCTGCTCTAAAGGAATGGGGTCAGATGAACACCTCCAGGTAGAAGGAGCAGCCTGTGTAGCTCTGGAAGAAAAAAAGAATCTGAACATATTACATGGCCTCTTCAAAATAACTCTACCCATCCAGAGGTTTTTCTGAAATCCTGAGATGTCGATAAGAGCTTTGTGGGTTTTGTTTGATCTTTGTTTTTGTTGTAGTCCACTTTGCTGTGTTTTACTTATCCTTGGTCTTCTCAGAGGCTGCCTAACAAGATCAAGCACTTAAAAATTAGATTAAATGGGATCAGCAGGTGGCATGGTGGTTAGGGGTACTGGACTCGTACATGGTTGACTGCAGTTCAAGTCCCGGACCTGGTGGCTTTCTTGCTCGCTTGCTCACTTTCTCGCTCTCTCTCTCTCTCTCTCTCACACACACACACACACACACACTCTGTTCTACTCTGTCCCTCTCTGATCAAATTAAGAAATATAAATAAAATAATTCTTAAAAAAATTAGATTAAGTGCAGGGCCATCCAGTTGGCATGGTGGTAAAGTCAGCTGGATCCCACATGACTGACTGCACACTTCAAGTCCTGGACCTGGTGGCTTGAGGAATATGCCACATAGGATGGGCCTATCCATGTGTGGGTGTCCCAAATCCCAAAAGGAGAATGGAGAGAGTATTGCAGTGTGCTTTTCTCATTTCTCCTTTATGTTTGTCTCTGGTGAGTGCATCTGCCCTGCAGCAAATTTTTTTAAAATTAAAGATTATGTACAAATCAATATATAAAAGCTGCAGGTGTTGGAGTTTGAGAGGTGAAAGAAATCAGTGTCCTGCAAGACATTTTAAACAGTTAAATAGAATTAATTGGTTCCTCATGGGAACAAGGAGTTAGCTTTTTTTTTTCCCCCCTCTTAGATGGTTAAAGAATCTTTTTGACTACTTCAGTAAGAATTTTTGTTTGCTACCTTAACAGTAGCAAACGTGTAGAAATAGAACTTTATAAAAGCTGCCCTTCCCGAAGATACGATAAAAAGGCACATAATTCATTGGTCTGTTTGAGAAAAATAATTTTTGGGGGGATAATATACGTTTTGGCTGGGGACAACATATCATTTAGCTATTTAGCATGCTGCTTAAGGAATTATATCAGGGTTTATATTTTAAATGACAACAAAAGCAAACCATGTCGAATGTAATAATTTCAGAGAAGTATAAATAATAAAAATCTGTAATCCACCACCTGGACTGGTGACACTTTTTCTATTTCCATAACTGTACACTCACCCCTGATTCATTTTCCTTTATCCTTGAGACTGGGAATTGGATTTGTTCCAAAAGTTGGCTTTGTTATATCTAGCTTTATGGTACAAGCTGGGCAAGTTCCCAGTGGCTGTCAAAAAAAAAGGAACTAAATTTTTTTCTGTTAAGTGTGGAACTCAACAAGTTTGAGTTTTCTCTCTTCTATTTCATCTTTGTCACCCTTGAGCTGATGTCATTTCATGTATGCCTGAGCTGAATGTCTTAAGAATATGGAGATTTTTTTTTGGTTTCTGATGGATTGTAGAAGCAGCACAGAGTTAACCTCCCAAGTATTTAGACCTTACAGCCTCTTGTATCCAACAGAAATTGATAATCTTGTAAAAAGTACATGCAATGGGACCAGCAGTTGGCGTAATGGCTGTCACTGGTCTCCCATGTAATCGACCACAGCTCGAGTCCTGGACCCAGTGGCGTGTGCGTGTGTGCCCAAGATCCTGAGAGGAGAATGGAGGAGAAGGGATTGTGGCGTGGACATCCCCCCTGGGGGGGCCGATTTCTTGCTTTCTGTCTTTCCAGCGAGCATACGTGCCCTATAGCAAAAACCTCCCCCCACGCAAAGAAAAAAAGTTCATGCAATGGTCTTCATTAAGAAACTTTAACATTTCTCTTCAGCCAGTCATTTCTATCTGTGGGACACAAAGTGTTGGAGAAAGATTAACAACCTCATGTGCCTGCCATCTAGAATGGCACATTACTTCCTTTTTACGCACTCTTGAACGGTCTCACTATATGACTACTTTTGAAATGGTTCCAGATTAGCAGTAAATCTCAGTAGTGCTTAAGTTTCATCATAACCTAGTAAGTTTAGTGTCTTCTGGCTTAAGTTCAAGAGTAAACTGCTTAAGGTTTTCTCCGAGCCGGCCAAAGTAGCTTAAAAATGATAGGTTGGCTACAGTAGATTTGAACTTGGTGCTTTCTGTAAGTTTTGGCAGGGAGCAAGACCAAATTCTCATAAAAATTTTCCTTCTGAATTAAGTATCTTGGACTTTATGGGCCATGGATCTGTCTGTACTATCCAACCTGTCATTGCAATGAGAAAACATCCAGATGATTTTGTAGGCAAAAGGACATGCTCTTCTCCGATACAACTTTTCACCTGTCAGAAAGTCTTTTCCTTGGAACCAGTAGATGGCGTAATGGTCCAGAAGTGGACTCCCACATGGTTGACTGTGGTTTGAGTCCTGGACCCGGTGGCTTAAACCTCAAGCCAGGTATGTGTGC